CTACATTCCTGTCCTTAGTTTTTTTCAGATACCACAAATGCGCGATCCAGAAAATTCTTCTATCATTCTTGCCACAAATGTATGTTTTCTTCGAAAATACTCAAGTACTACCAGTAGAGTACTCTACTGTCAAATACCTTTTACTCGCAGTAGTTGCGGAAGGCAAAGTAAATACTCTACGCGTGTTGCTATTGATCGGTAGTTTACGTACGCTTGCTGAAACTGGTTTATGCTTACTCACAATTGACCCGAACGATGAAAGTAGGGGATGGAAAGTATTTGCGCGGCGATCGGATGTCTTGTTGGGCCGTTTAAATGGAATTGCGCAGGAGTCTAGTATGTATGCAAACACACAGGCGACGCCTCTAGCCATTGAGGGTCTCACCTTTAAGATATCGCTGAAGTTTTTTTTCAGCCTCCCCACTCCCCCTCCCCCCCTTCGCGAAACCCTGGCGTAGCGCCTAGCGTTAACGCCGAAGTACAATACCTAAACAAAAGCGGCAACGCTACGTCAAATGAAGAAATAACATAATCGTTCATCGGAAACTTTAAGATTACGATTATAATAATATGGTTATTAGACTGGGTCGGTCCCCATACAAAAAAAAAAAGTTGCTAATGTCCGCCCCTAAATTTAAAGATTATGTTGAGAGGGTTCTGGAAAAATTTTTTTTTTTTTTTTTAACCCTCCGAAATACAGCCGAAATGGTTTTTTCGTTGTAACTTGGTTATTTGACGGCCGATTTTTAAAATTGATATGTCANTAAAAAAAAAAAAAAAAAATTTTTCCAGAACCCTCTCAACATAATCTTTAAATTTAGGGGCGGACATTAGCAACTTTTTTTTTCGACCCAGTCTAATGGTTATCTTTCTATAGTTAAAGACGGTTTCTTTATCAAAAGTTCAAAACCACTTACCTCAGATGTATCCACTAAGAGTTTATCGGCAGCGAAAGCAGACCTTCGTACATGTGCATGGAAATGCACATACATATTTTTTCCATTGAGGGCTCTGCAAGAAAATTTTTAAGAACAATGATACAAAATTAAAATTTGTTTTATAATACTTTTGTAATGCAAGCGTAAATATGTTGGCGCATAATAACAGTCAAGAAAAAGTAGGCTCTACCTGAGTTAGCGCATGGTTTTACACTGATCAATAGATTAAGTGAATCATAGCCATGTAAAAGCTCAGTTAGTCTAGACTCAATTTCCGTAACTTAGTTTAACTCAATATTTTTACCAACCTGTTATATGAGAAACTGTGTTGGCGGTTAGTTAAAATTTAACTTACCGTAAGAAACTTAAGAACCTGTAGTTTTAGATTCTTAAGTTACGGCCTTACGTAAATTGAGACCGATAAGAGGATCACGCTTGCCAGATTTTCGGTTTTGTAATTCTCAAAAATAAATGACCGCAAACATATTTGTTTGCATGAATATTTTTGATGTGGCATTTTAGACGGCAAACTGCCAAAGAGCTGAAATAGAAAATACAAAAACAAAATATTCCCGCTTCTGGCTTAAGTTGACATGTTGAGTAATCATTGATGATTTCTTACGGTAAGTTAAATTAAGTTAAGTATAGACTAACTGAGCTTTTAGTGCCTGCTTTTTCGCTGAGAGTCGACTCTAAAGTTAAAGCGACTAACAGCTGTTACTAATGCTAGCACTAAATCTCACAAGCATAACGCTATTTCATTTTTCGCATTTATGTGGGATTTTATGAAAATGCCTTTTATGAATAACAATACGAAGAACACATAATTAAGAATTTCGAAAGACCATTTATGACTGTTGCGGGCAAATTGCATTGTAGAGAAAACAACTATTTCATAATTTTGATTCTTTGAAATTACTTTTTAATTTTTTTACCAATTTAATTTTTAATTGTATGTTCATTTATATTTAAGTTATTTTGTGGGTATAGAGAATATTTATTAATTAACATTAGTGCCACATCAGCAAGGAACCATCCTGGTTATAATTTTAGCAGTTCATATGAGTCTATAATTTACAAGCTATTTATGAACAAGATTTTTTGGCATATTGCTGAGGAAAAATATTGGGTAAATTTATATCTGTTGTCATAAGCAGGGCCGAAAATATTAAGCTTTTGCTTGGAATTGCTTATTTTGCTTATTCAGGCTTTCCAAGCTTAATTTTAACGACCATGCATTTTTTACTTATTTCAATGTATTAAGCTAACTACGGACCTTTTAAGCAAACGGCCAGGAAATAAATTGCTACTATTTCGTGTGTGTCAATAATACTTAGTGCCCAAAGAGTTTTGACATCTGACATTTTACAGCCGTCTGCCTAACTTTTTCCTTATGAAATAATAGCATGGAAAACTAGGGTGCCTTATGCTCTTCACAAACACACTTTAGCAAACCATTGTAGCATCGAAAATTTCTTAAGAACTTCGCACTGCTTATGAAAATTTGGCTCAATGAAGGCATATGAAATGGGTAGTACTATTAACAACATGGTATCTAAAGTGTCAAAAACTGATTTTTTAATCAAAGTGTGCTATGCGAAATACATAAAAAAATAAAATAAAAAATTTAAATTGGAACAAACTAAATATGCTGCAACTTTTTTTCTTAGTAAATTAGTTTGCTTCTCGAAGCATTGATCCATCCTTTACACCCCAGTAATCAGCGTTTGTGCTGCTGAGTTGGGTGAACGTTCCAAAAAGTTGCTATTCAATCGCTTGTTTTGTATGGAATAAGGTTTCACATGCAAATAGATTTGAACAATTTAGAAATTTTTGTGAGAAGAAATTAGAAATATTTGACATTTTAGAGACCAAATAATTTGAAAGAACCAGTCAGCTGCTCTACTGATATCACCTGTTCAATGTGGCTTGGGCTGAATAAATTTTTCTTCTTCGTAACTTTAATTGCATTTTTCCTTGGGTACAAAAATTTAAAACCAAAGGGTTATCCCTACAGGAGGGCATTGGTGTTATTGAAGAGATTAAAAATAATTTATCTCAAATGGAGAATAACGAATATTAAAAAAAAAAATAAAACTACCAGCACAAATCTCTATTATTTGAGAAAATCAAGCAACACTTGAATGTTCATTGTAGTTTTCCAATACTTGAAATAAACTGAATAAAAAACAAAACATTAAACTGTACTTAAAATTTGTTTGTTGTTTTTCGGGCATATGTGCAAGCATATTTACTGACGTTTTAGTGCTTATCTAAGCGCTTAAAATTGATTTAATTGATTTGACATATATAACTCAAGTCTTTCTTAAGCCGACTTAGTCGGTTATTGCTAATGACCACAGATATGACTTCAAATAAGTATGTATATAATTTATGGAAAAAGTAGTTTCTGGAGCTCATTGCCAACGAACAACCACTTTTTCCACTTCTTTCCAGACAAGCGATTTCTACTTAGAGAAATAGTTATTCCTACTTAAGAAAATAGTCTTTCGATACTTACTTGATACCGAGCAAAACAAGTGTAAATTAAAAAAAAAATACTTGGTACATAATTTCCACGAACATAACTTCTATTGGCCCCTGGAAATTATTTCAGACTTAATTTCCACTCTGGTCAGAAATAACTTACATGGAAGTTAATTTAAAACAAAATCTCATTCAAGTTATGTCATGAATTAGGACAGCAGCGACGTGGAGATGCAGGAGAAGCCCGAGCAGCTCGATCCTATCGACGTGATCGGGGGTACGCCTCATGGACGTTATCGCTAGGAGTTGGACGTATGTTTCGGTTCCATGCGGAGGAGGAGTTAACTGAATAGTCGGGGGATACGGTATCAGTCAAGATGGTGAAGGTACTCCAAGTTAAAGCAGTATTTACATGAGGCGATTTTGTAAGCAATTCAACATTGCCTGAAAAAAGTGCCTGACATGTTGCTTTCACTTAACGGAAAGCGATTTAACGCTTTCTAGAAAATTTAATCACAATTTACACAGGCGATTCCTCATGTAATGTTGCTTACTTTCACCATTGTAAAGCATCAGCAGCTGCATTGATGTTCCAAATAACTTCTACACAGCATACTTATTGGGCTAAAAACGCCCGACCGCGTACAACGGGGAAACCAAGGACGTGTATATTGATAATTATCAAACTAAAATGTCTCTTTCTTCCACAATTTAGCGATGAGGGCAGCGGTCAGTCTAATCCTAAACGGGCGACTAGTAAAGATGGTATCCATGCACCTGGCCCATAATAAGGAGGTGCCAACATCATGTGTTCGAAAACAAGTGGCGAGCACGAAGGAGGCATTCATCTTGGAAGGTGATATGAATTTTCACATTCACATCTGGGGCTACAGTGACGATAATGAGCTGGGTGAGACGCTTTTGGATTTCATACTTAGCTCTAAGCTTATTATTGCAAATAGGAGAAATATTTCCATTTTTATTAAAAAATCCCGAGGCAGGTTCTAAGCGTTACCCTTATTTTTCAGAATACGGAATACCTGGTGGGGAGTTCTAGGGTACTTGAGGAGCACTCCATTTCTGACTACCTATATCCTTCTTCCAACTATAAATGTGCCCAACGCTAACTGGTATACAACAGACGGAACAAGTGCTCCACTTCAGCTACACGGCCTCGAAACGCTTTGTCATGTTACCCATCAAGCAGTCTATGAAGCGTAGAAAACTCCCTGCTTGAATTGAGTTTCAGAATAGAATGAAGGTGCTTCTTCATCTGCTTTTCTCTGCTAACGTATCTGCAACGCCTACACTCCCAGCAACAACAACACATTCTTTAAGTATTGATGGCCATGTCAATGCCCTGCCCTCTTTCTGCGTATGTTCTCTGTTTCCATGTCCAGTGTGGCATTTCCCGGTTGCAGAACGAGATTTCGATGCTTTATTTCCCCGATTGCTTGACTCTTTTGAAGACGGTGTGCGATATGTAGATTTAAACTATGACAAGCACAAGCTATATCTCGAAAACTGTTCTTTTTTTTTAACATTTGACAATGACAGTCAAATGCTATAGATCAGAACATTTTAATAAATTTGTAAAGTAGTGTTATTATTTGCATTGTCACCTTCAATACACGAGGAACGCCTATTTATCCACTGGATCGTTTATTTCTAACGGAAATACAATTTTTTATAAAGCTCCTAATTTTACCATTATTCAGCGTCCCTTATATGGGACAGTGGTAACTTAGGTGTTTAAAAATAAATTGACTTCAACTACTTTTATGTTTTTCTTCTATGAATAATACCTGAGTATGTATGTATATTTTTTCGAGGCCGCTGTGGTGTAGTGATTAGCAGTGCGTTCCGCAGGGCCTGGATTCAAGCCCGGTTCAACACAACGTAAAAAAGTAAAAACAAAAAGTTTTTTTTTCTAATAGCGGTTGCCCCTCGGCAGGAAATGGCAAACCGCTTGGCACTTTAATCTATATATATAAATGTGAATGCCTATTTGTTTATTATGGAATCGCACGAAACTTTGCAGACCTATTTGTTTTTACCCCGGGAAGGTTATAGGTATGGCTTTATTTGCAAATATGTCGTAAATTTCGCAAGGAGGCGTGGCACCTCCAATAGGCCTGCAAATGTTTAATCAGCTATAACTTCGGAAACATAAGTCAAAAAAACCTTAAATTTGGTACATGTCTATGGGGGACGCTTATAGTAAGGTGTATACAAATGAGTTTATAAAAGGGGGGCGTGGTACATCCCTTGGGCGAGGAATTTTGTTTCAGCTATAACTTCGGAACCATAAGTCGCATGAATTTGAATTTTGATATGAAGTCATATCTATGGTGGGTGCTTATGGTAAGGTTTATATAAATGAGTTTATAAAAGGGGGGCGTGGTACATCCCTTGGGCGAGGAATTTTGTTTCAGCTATAACTTCGGAACCATAAGTCGCATGAATTTGAATTTTGATATGAAGTCATATCTATGGTGGGTGCTTATGGTAAGGTTTATATAAATGAGTTTATAAAAGGGGGCGTGCCACATCCAGTAGGCTTTGAAGTTTTAATCAGCCATAACTTCGGTTACATAAGTCACATGTACTTGAAATTTAGTATGTCGACTAGGGATGTTAATCCCGGGATCCCGGGATCTCAGACTTTCTTAAGTCCCGGAAAGTCCGGGATTTTTGCCAAGAATCCCGGGATTTTCGGGACTTGTAATTTACAATGCTGGAAATAATAGAATGCCACATGTTGACCAGTTTTCGCTATATTTCTTTTGTTTATTTAATACTAGCAGACCCGCGAACTTCGTCCCGCCCAAAATAAATTTTTTGTACACGGTCAAAAATTTGGATTTAATTATTAAACCTCGCTGGGACTACTGCCTTTTTGAATCTTTTATAGTCTACTTTTTAAACCAGTCAATAGTTTTAAGCAATTTTTAACATATTATGGTTTAAATTTTAGTCCAAAANTAAGGTGTATACAAATGAGTTTATAAAAGGGGGGCGTGGTACATCCCTTGGGCGAGGAATTTTGTTTCAGCTATAACTTCGGAACCTTAAGTCACATGAATTTGAAATTTGATATGAAGTCATATGTATCTATGGTAGGCGCTTATGGTAAGGTATAAATAAATTAGCTTCTAAAAAGAGGCGTGGCATATCCCATAGGCGTGGAATTTTGTTTCAGCTATAACTTCGGAACCATAAGTCGCATGAATTTGAATTTTGATATGAAGTCATATCTATGGTGGGTGCTTATGGTAAGGTTTATATAAATGAGTTTATAAAAGGGGGCGTGCCACATCCAGTAGGCTTTGAAGTTTTAATCAGCCATAACTTCGGTTACATAAGTCACATGTACTTGAAATTTAGTATGTCGACTAGGGATGTTAATCCCGGGATCCCGGGATCTCAGACTTTCTTAAGTCCCGGAAAGTCCGGGATTTTTGCCAAGAATCCCGGGATTTTCGGGACTTGTAATTTACAATGCTGGAAATAATAGAATGCCACATGTTGACCAGTTTTCGCTATATTTCTTTTGTTTATTTAATACTAGCAGACCCGCGAACTTCGTCCCGCCCAAAATAAATTTTTTGTACACGGTCAAAAATTTGGATTTAATTATTAAACCGCGCTGGGACTACTGCCTTTTTGAATCTTTTATAGTCTACTTTTTAAACCAGTCAATAGTTTTAAGCAATTTTTAACATATTATGGTTTAAATTTTAGTCCAAAAGGTTCGTGGTTTAAAAATCAAACCAAAATGTTTTAATTCTAGTTTCTAGATTTCATATACAGAAAATTTGGTTTAAAATCTAAACCGAAATAGAAAATGTTTGCACACAGCGAAATGTGGTGTTGATTCAAACTCAACATATGAAAGCACATTTACATGCGTGGCTGTAGCTGAGTGTGCAAAGCTGCTTGATACCAATTGGTTGCTACTAAGGCTGTCCGGGTTCAATCCCCATCAGACGGAGCATGAAATTTTATTTTTATTTTTTATTCTTAATTATAAAAATGTTTGGGTTTAAAATTTAAACCGAACTGTTTAAATTCTAAACCCAACATATGTGCCCTCTTTTTTTATATTTAGAAGGTTTGTATTTGAAACTGAATTTATGTAGTTTGGTCAAATATGTACTTAGTCCAAAAAGTTTAAAATTAAAACCGAAATTTTTAACCATGTATTGAAACATTTGTGCCCAATATTTTCACCAAGAGTTCACGTTCATGACTTTTAGTGACGCATTTGTCTTTTAATATTACGGTTTGGTTGTTGTCAAACTGTACATGCATACAAAGATACGTAATAGTTTCAGTGCGTTGGAAAGGCGCCACGTCTNTTTTAAAAAAAAAGTTATCAAGCTCTTAAAAAATCACCCGTTATAAGCATCTACCATAGATACNCTTTTCAAATAACCCCAATTTTCTCTAAGAGCATGGGATTGATTTCATATCTCTCATATCTCTATACCATTTTCGAGTAATTTACCATGGGAGGTCCCACGTCCTTTTTTCCAATATCCCTAACTTTTCTTCATGACCAGTCGCGTTTTATATATCTTCAAGTTCCAGTACTCTTCCATGAACACATTCAAAGATATGCAGTATGAAAAATTCGATGTATATGGGCAGTGCCACGCCTCCTTTTNATAAAATTTTCCACGCCTATGGGATGTGCCACGCCCTTTTTTACAAACCCCTTTATATATACTTTACTGTAAGCACCTACCATAGTTATGTCTGCATACCAAATTTCAAGTTCATGTGGCTTATAGTTCCGGAGTTATAGCTGATAAAATATTCCTATGGGATGTGCCACGCCCACTTTTATAACCTCATTCATATATACCCTACTATAAGCACCTACCATATGTATGACTGAATAACAAGTTCCAAGTTCATATGACTTATAGTTTCCNCCCTCTGCACCTAGCGGAATGAAATATACTTTACATCCGATTCTCATACCTACCAGATATAACACAAAAAATTTCATTCAGATCGGTCGAGCCGTTTAGGAAGAGTTCGATTTTTATATGTATATTAGATAAGCACGATGCGAGAAGCATAGAAAAAATTTCGATGAAACAAAAAAAAATTTTTTCTCGGGTTCACAACTTTCCTATCTTTTAAGTTGGAGCAATACCCACCCACAAAATGTCATTGAAATCGGTTAAGCGGTATCGGAGATTAGCGTAAACGAACACAGTGACACGGGATATTTATATATTAAGACTAGCAGAACCGGCGAACTTCGTCCCGCCCAAAATTAATTTTTTGTATTGAAACATTTTGGTCCAACATTTTCACCAACAACTCACGTTCATGATTTTCAGTGATGCATTTATCTTCTAATATTACGGTTTGGTGGTTGTCAGAAGGCATATTTCTATTGCCATCTTAAATAACCTAGCAAAAGTGTATATATATGTATACAAAGATACGTAATAGCTTCAGTGCATTTGAAAGGCGGCACGCCCCCTTATCAAATAGCCGCAATTTGCTCTAAAAGTATGGGATTGATTCATATATCTCCATACCATGTTCGAGTACTCTACCATGAACACTATCAGAGATATGCAGTGTGAAAAAATTCGGTTTGTATGGGAGGTGCCACGCCCTCTTTTCTAATAACCACAATTTTTCTCCATGAGTATGCGATTGTTTTCATTTATCCCCATACCATGTTCAAGTACTCTACCATGAACACTATCAGAGATATGCAGTGTGAAAAAATTCGGTTTGTATGGGAGGTGCCACGCCCTCTTTTCTAATAACCACAATTTTTCTCCATGAGTATGCGATTGTTTTCATTTATCCCCATACCATGTTCANATAAAATATTCCACGCCTATTGGATGTGCCACGCCCACTTCTACAAACTCGTTTATTTATACCATACTACTATACGCACCTAGCATATATATGACTGTATACCAAATTTCAAGTTAGNTATCTCCATACCATGTTCGAGTACTCTACCATGAACACTTCCAGAGATATACAGTATGAAAAAACCGGTTTGTATGGGAGGTGCCACGCCCCTTTTTCCAGTAGCCCAAATTTTTCATCATGACCATTCGATTGATTTCATATATCTCCATACCAAGTTTCAGTACTCTACCACGAACACATCCAGAGATATGCAGTATGAAAAATTTGGTTTGTATGGGAGGTGCCACGCCCTCTTTTCTAATAACCACAATTTTTCTCCATGAGTATGCGATTGTTTTCATTTATCCCCATACCATGTTCAAGTACTCTACCATGAACACTATCAGAGATATGCAGTGTGAAAAAATTCGGTTTGTATGGGAGGTGCCACGCCCTCTTTTCTAATAACCACAATTTTTCTCCATGAGTATGCGATTGTTTTCGTATATCTCCATACCATGTTCGAGTACTCTACCATGAACACTTCCAGAGATATACAGTATGAAAAAACCGGTTTGTATGGGAGGTGCCACGCCCCTTTTTCCAGTAGCCCCAATTTTTCGTCATGACCATTCGATTGATTTCATATATCTCCATACCAAGTTTCAGTACTCTACCATGAACACTATCAGAGATATGCAGTGTGAAAAAATTCGGTTTGTAGTGGAGGTGCCACGCCCTCTTTTCTAATAACCACAATTTTTCTCCATGAGTATGCGATTGTTTTCGTATATCTCCATACCATGTTCGAGTACTCTACCATGAACACTATCAGAGATATGCAGTGTGAAAAAATTCGTTTGTATGGGAGATGCCACGCCCTCTTTTCTAATGACCACAATTTTTCTCCATGAGTATGCGATTGTTTTCGTATATCTCCATACCATGTTCGAGTACTCTACCATGAACACTATCAGAGATATGCAGTGTGAAAAAATTCGTTTGTATGGGAGGTGCCACGCCCTCTTTTCTAATAACCACAATTTTTCTCCATGAGTATGCGATTGTTTTTGTATATCTCCATACTATGTTCGAGTACTCTACCATGAACACTATCAGAGATATGCAGTGTGAAAAATTCGGTTTGTATGGGAGGANCACCTAGCATATATATGACTGTATACCAAATTTCAAGTTAGTGTGACTTATGGTTCCGAAGTTATGATTGATAACAAATTTCACGCCTATGGCATGTGCCACGCCCACTTCTACAAAGTCATTTATACATATATACTCTACTGTAAGTNGGGAGGTGCCACGCCCCTTTTTCCAGTAGCCCCAATTTTTCGTCATGACCATTCGATTGATTTCATATATCTCCATACCAAGTTTCAGTACTCTACCACGAACACAATCAGAGATATGCAGTGTGAAAAAATTCGGTTTGTAGTGGAGGTGCCACGCCCTCTTTTCTAATAACCACAATTTTTCTCCATGAGTATGCGATTGTTTTCGTATATCTCCATACCATGTTCGAGTACTCTACCATGAACACTATCAGAGATATGCAGTGTGAAAAAATTCGGTTTGTAGTGGAGGTGCCACGCCCTCTTTTCTAATAACCACAATTTTTCTCCATGAGTATGCGATTGTTTTCGTATATCTCCATACCATGTTCGAGTACTCTACCATGAACACTATCAGAGATATGCAGTGTGAAAAAATTCGTTTGTATGGGAGATGCCACGCCCTCTTTTCTAATGACCACAATTTTTCTCCATGAGTATGCGATTGTTTTCGTATATCTCCATACCATGTTCCAGTACTCTACCATGAACACTATCAGAGATATGCAGTGTGAAAAAATTCGGTTTGTATGGGAGGTGCCACACCCTCTTTTCTAATAACCACAATTTTTCTCCATGAGTATGCGATTGTTTTTGTATATCTCCATACTATGTTCGAGTACTCTACCATGAACACTATCAGAGATATGCAGTGTGAAAAATTCGGTTTGTATGGGAGGAGCCACGCCCCCTGCACCTAGCGGCATGAAATATACTTTACATCCGATTCTCATACCTACCATATATGAACAAAAAATTTCATAAAGATCGGTCAAGCCGTTTAGGAGGAATTGGACCACTAACACCGTGACACGAGATTTTTATATATTAGATACCCTACTAACGGGTGATTTTTTTGAGGTTAGGATTTTCATGCATTAGTATTTGACAGATCACGTGGGATTTCAGACATGGTGTCAAAGAGAAAGATGCTCAGTATGCTTTGA